TATAATTGGGCCTATGAATTTTTATACATGTTCAGATGAATTTCTCTGGAGGAAGTGAAAGGCGTCTTCTGCTTAGCTTCACAGAAAGCTTGGTGGCAAAAGGACAGCAAGCTTGTTTTCTCAGTGTTGGCCTAAGAATCTGAAAAGGAACTACACAACCAGGCAACACCAGCAATTCAAAGTCACAATCTTTTGGACAAGTGACAATATCAAAGGTAAGTTGTAGATCAAAATAATTTGTGATATGCCTGCAGTTTGTTTCATAAACAAAGAAATTTTCTTGTTATGATCTGCATGTCTCTTTGGACATGTGCAGTTTTATTAGAATGACCTTATGGCCAGACTGAAGAATTCTTTTCTGACTTCTCAGGAACTGGAAAATAAGGTGCTTTACACTCACACCTTCAAGCAGAAATAAAAGTAGTGGAAATATGTTTTATGGGAGTGCAGCTTGTATTTTGGCATTTTGCTCAAAATACCTGTCACAAAGACACAACAGAGTACAACATAGCATTTAAGGACTGCCACAACTGAGACAGAAGTGGAAGATGGGTCTCTAACCAGTGGGGTCTCCACTTTTTTCTAAGTAGTGCTTGTTAGAAAGGGGAAGTGAACACAGGGCATACAAATCAGAGGGGAGGAAGAGGAGAGAATGTATTAAACAAACAGACAAAAAAGCCTACAAATCTGCTTTAGGGACATACTGAAAAGAATGCAAAGATTAGACTGGTACCACTGTCAATGACAAACTATGGTAGCCCAGGACAAATTATAGACTGCACCAGTCGGTATCTGGAGTAGGAAGGAACATCAGAATTTAGAAGATCTATGTGAACACAATTTCACAAATGCGTTTTGACTAGCACAGTTTCATGATGAAATCTTCTACTTCTTCCCAATTTTATTTCTGCAAACACAGAACGCCTTCACTTGTGGGAAGTTTGTTTCTGGCCCCAGCAGCTTGCAGTAAGAAGAGGGTTTGGGGTCAGAAATGACGTTTAAATTCACATTGAAATCAGACTTCCAACTATTTAATTGTTGCTCTGATGTTTCTCTCCCCGTAGAGCTGATGCCACAATGTAACTCCCCACATTCATATGATCACATCTCCTTAGCTAAGAGAAACCTTCCTTTGACTAGAGAAGGAACCCAAAACATCATCACCTAAGCCAAATTTAAGCCTACCGGTAAGACCTTAAGCGTGTGACTCAATGAGGGTCTCTGTCCTCTGAATGCTGTCACAGCTCCAACTTTATTCCTAAGAATTAAGGCAGAGTGAACTTGATTGTGATTCAAACTAAGTATTTATGTTCAGAATCCTATTTTTAACAGTGACAGCTATTAGTGGCTACAAAGTCAAGAGACCTACTTTCAGGTACTAACCCTTTATGTTATGTATGCTATGTTTCCTCCCACCTCTGCTCTCTCAATTAGAATAATTTAAAACTGTAATTTCCTTGGGACAAAGACTGGTCTTTCTCCATAAAATGTAAATGTTGAGTGGACTCTAGGCCAGGATGAACACACCTCACTCTACCTGGAGAATATGAAAGTAAATGAAGTTTTTTGAAATATTAGTATACCACTTTCATCTCCCCAAAAGCTGTTGCTGTACAGCTCTAATCAAAAATACATCATCAGACAGAGAGACCGTACAAGGAGACAATTCGCAAAAGCCAATATAACTAATTGAGTTCAAAGGACTTCGTAAGTAACTTTTGTACATAGAATTAACATCCAACATGGAAAGTTTTAGAGGTTTATAAAGTCTGCAAAGAGTAATGTAGTTTGAGACATCAATAGAAGTTCAAACGATAGAAGGGAAACCATTCCCTTGCATAACACTGGCAGAGAAAAAAGTTTCTGCTGTTTTCAATTCCCACTCCACTTCTTTGTATCTTCAATAGCAAGTGTAAGTAGAAAATACAGCTAGAAAACAACAATAATTCAGAGTTTCAAGAGAAAAGCAAAGCCAGGCACTTGTTTAAAAAAGAACTCTCAAAATACTTGAAAGTGAAAACCTTCTAAAGTCTCTAGAAACCTATCATGAATCAAGGGCTAACCACAGATGATTGACAAACATATCAGATGACTGTCTAAAATATATTGATCTCAAAACCATGTCTCTGTAACTGAAATCCTAATGTGCTGTGCATGCCACAAGATTAATAGAAGAGCCTTCTGTCGGGTAAAGTGCTCTCAAGTACTGAAGAAAAACACACGCAATGCTATGGTTACTTACATCTTTCTCCCTTCGCACCTTCTTTTTTCCCCACATTTTTAAAGCACCATCTAGCCATCCAACTCTAATGTCCAACACCTCTGTGATGAACAGTAAACACTTACTGCTTTATAAAGCACAAATATTTATTTCACTAAATATTTTCACTTCCCACCACCTGCTTTATCTCCTTCCATCTCTCTCTAGCCTGCTTTTTTTTTTTTTCCTGAACAGAAAGGAAAGGACTACAGCAATCAATGTCTTGGTTTCTCTTTTATCTGTCTTGAATTGTAGCAATTCTGTAGAAAGGCAAGCAAGTTTCCTGTTCCCTGGCATGGGTTATAGCCCAGTTTATAGACTGGATACCTGATAATAGTCTGTGAAGAAAAATTAATACAGTTTGACCAAATGCACTAGGACATCCCAACAAACGGAGCGTAAAAGCCACCAACAGAGATAGCATTACGCTGCTATAACAGCGCATTTCACCGCATGCAGTTCCGGTATTTATCTGTCTTTCATTAGCACACTTTTACATATATAGCCCTGAGAGATCCAATGACAGTACCATAGGCATAACTGATATTATAGACAGAACAAAGACAGACCTACAACTACAGAAATATTTTGGAATATGCTAAAAGACAGTCCATTCCTGAAAATGCCTTGGAAGAAAATTAATGCAATAGCCTCCATAAGACTTTCTCTCTTAATTTCATGACCCTCAATCAGCTCTGAAAGCCACTACCAGGAGTCTTGTTCTCTTCCTCTTCCTTCTTCAGCCATTTATTTATACCCATTTCCTTTTGCTGTGTCAAGCGCTCATGCGGTAAACCAGCTCAGCAAGTTCATTAGACATAAAAATAATCCAACATAAAGGGTCAGAACACCGATCCAGCTTGTCATGTCACTAAATGGAATGGAAAGGGGATGGCGGGGGAGTGGAGACGGTAGGCAACCTCTCCTTTTGATGGCAGTCTGCATTTTATCAGATGAAGCATACCACAATACTGCACCCCAGCAAGCTAGTGACACGTAGGGCTAGAAATAACACGTTTGAGTTACTCTGATAGCTCCTGCAGGTTAGGTAGGTCTAGGGCCTTTAACTCCTTAACAATCTTAGGCTAAATTTAACTCATCTTTTTTCAAATCAGAAAACGGAGTTATCAACTTCATTGGAAAAATCTACTCTTCTTACATATTTGGTTGCTAAGAGCAACACCACACCCATTCAGAAGCCCACAGATATATTTGGTTGCTAAGAGCAACACCACACCCTTTCAGAAGCCCACAGATCTCCTCAGTACAGGTTTTCAGTGAGAGCCCACAACAGTAATGCTACTATTACTGTCTTGTTCATTTCAAATAAGCTTCTTTCAAAGAGGTTTAGAAAACTGCAAGGCAGAGGAAATTCTTCCAGATTGAAGTCTACATTCGGAGAGCTTTAACAGATTTTGCTTCTGTGGGTTGGTCAAGACTGATGGTTTAAATGGTCTAAACTGGATTTGCACTTCAAATTAGTAACTTGTTTTATAAGCTGTCTAGTTAAAATACTCCACTAGGTTATGTATTTAATTATTTCTTAAAAAGTCAGTATTTCAAATACAGTGTGAAAGATACTGAAATTTAGTTGTATTTAGGGATCAGATAATGATATTATGGGAGATACCAACTAGTCTTACCTATTTCATTGCATTCACAATGAATTTTTACCTTTAAAGCACAAATTTAATCCTTCATGCTCAGAGATGATACGCAAACATATTTAACAGCAATTGCGTTTTCCAGATCAATTCCTTATTTAAGAAAACAGAACCCCTAAACCTAATGGCTTAAGTTTTGACAGAAGAATTCATGTTTACCTGAAAGACGCCACTGTTGTGTAGGGTTTAAAACCATGCAACTTCCAATGGTTTTTCAACACATTTTTTTAAAAACCAATGATTGTTTTTAATTTTCTCGAAACTTACTTTGCACTAAATTTATCTGAAAAGGGTGGAGGAGGAAAAATTTATGCACCAGTGACTGAATACACTAGAAAGGGTGGCTGCGTGCATTTGCACCAGATCGTCAAGGGACGCATGGGGAGCCTGATGGCTGGGAGCCCTCCAAGGGAAAGCCGTGGGTGCCACGGAAGAAGAAGATGAATGTAGGGTGAAACCATGCTATCAAACTGCTCCCGTGCACCCATATATCGCTAATCCCCCCTCAGAGCGCTTCCAACGCCTGCTTCTTAAGGGGCTGAACGCCTCGCTGTGCGCTGCAGCCCACGCCAGCTTCCCCTCGACGGCGGCCGCTGGCTGGGTGCGGCGCCACGCCGAGCGCCATGGCCACCACGGCCACCTCGGCTCCCAGGGCCGGGGTGAGGGTGCTCCGCACAGCCCCTCCACACAGCGGGGACGGTCCCCCGGGCGACGGCTTTGCCCCGGCGGCACCCCCACGCAGGATCCCGCCCAAATACGACGCCCGCTCGCCCAGGGCAGCTCCGCGACGGCTGGTCGGCCGGGGCTGCCGGCGTTGGGGCCGCGGAAGGGGCCGCCTCCCCCGCCGACACCGAGCGAGGAGCGCGGAGGTTAATGGCGGCGGGGCGGGGAAAGGAAGCGGGAGGTGGCCCTGCCCCGGTCCCCCCCACACCCCCTCCGCCTCCCGGCCGGGCTCCCTGCTCTGACAGCCCAGACCCGGCTCCCGAACGCTCCACGTTGCCAGCCGGCAGCGGGCTGCCCCGTGCGCCCGGTGAGGCGGCCGGTGACACGGCCGGGGGGCCGGGCCCCTCCCTTACCTGGCTTAGCCGGCTTAGGTGGCGGCTTGGACATGGCGGGGGACGGCGGAGCGCGGACAGGGGGAGAGCGACGGGGCGGCGATCGGCTGCCTGCGAACGGGCCCGCAGGCGGTTGCCGGAGCAGGGCGGGGCGAAGCGGGGCGGGCGGGGCAGCGGCGCAAAACCCTCGACGGGCTCCGGGGAGCGGCGGGCGGCACCGGGCAGGAGGAGGAAGGAAGGGCGGCTGGGGAGAGTGAGGGAGGGAGGGAGGAGCGGGCGGGGAGAGGGGCGGGCGCTACAGGCAGCGCCCCCTAGTGGCGGCGGCCGGCG